GACCCAATACTGCTTGATCCTCAACTCGCCGAATAGCAAATTTGTTCTTGTCTACTAACGTTTCAGACTCATCATCCAACTTATTCCTGTCCTGCACAGCCTTTTCTCGTTAACGCTCACGACGGCTATAGCCAAGATGGATTCTGAAGATGAACCTATTACATACTCCTCAGAAGGACTTCACGAGACTCTGACGAAGCTGTCCATTAGTCCCAATCCCGAAGCCAACCTAGCGATCAGAGAATATTGCCGCAAACAGGTTCATGGGCAGGAAGACCCTTGGCTCCAAAAGCCGGAGATACCAACACCTGAAGAGATTCTACCGGCATCTTCAGACGAAGGGTGTGTGGAGCTCATGCCTAACAGGATAGAAGGTCCCTGGAGCTCCAAGGAAACTTACTTGAGAGCACATTATGAACTCCTTCGAGAGGATGCTGTTGCTCCACTGCGAGATGCTGTGGCCTACGTCCGTAATGACCCCCGGATGGTGGACTCTCAAGCTGTATCGATATACGAGAAGGTCAGCCTTCACCCTTGCTTCACATTCTCAGGAAAGTCGGGTAGCTGCTTACCAGAATCTGACTTAGGTTTACATAACTGGCATCACATTCGCCCAAACGGGCATTGCATTCCGAATCCGATTCTCCACTAACAGATCTGGAAAGAAAATTGTTTGGGAATACTCTAAACGGTTAATTACTGGATCGGTCGTTGCACTGTCTCCTGCAAGTGACTCTTTCCGAAGCAAGTGTGTCATTGCCGTTGTTGCTGCGAGACCCTTGGAAGGGGTCAAGCAAGAGCCTCCGGAAATAGATATCTTCTTTGCCCAGCCCGAGGACGCCAGTTTCGATCCTCATCAGGAATGGATTATGGTAGAAGCCAGAACAGGCTACTACGAGGCTATGAGACATACCATGACTGCTCTCCAGAGACTAAACCGCGAAAGGTCAGTTAACATAACTGGAAAAGTAACTCAGAACTAGCTGATCCCCGCACCAGGTTCCCTCTAGCAGATCACATATGCGGCCTGGATCCCGATGTTGATGCCCCGGATTATGTCAAAGAATCCCCTAGTGTGGACATCCAGTCAGTTATTGGCCGAGCGGACGAAGAGGCGAAGATCAACCTCTTGGAAGGATGGCCAGAATTGCCAACAGGTGATCTCGACAAGTCACAGTGGGCTGCTCTGGAGCAGATCCTCACCAAAAAATTAGCGATCATCCAAGGGCCCCCGGGCACCGGGAAAACACACGTTTCTGTGATTGCGTTGAAAATTCTGTTGTCTAACATGCAGCCTAATGATCCTCCTATCATAGTTTCGTCTCAAACAAATCATGCCTTGGATCAACTTCTGCGGCACATTTCGGTTTTCGAGAAGGACTATATTCGCTTAGGAGGGAGAAGCAACGACCCCGAAATCAAAAAGCGCACTCTGTTTTCTATCAGGCAAAATGGGCCGGCAGTCACAGTCCAAGGTGGCATGTATGGTCCGTCAATGAGGAAATACAAGACTCTGGTGACTACAATTGTGGAGTTGCTGGAGGCTTTCAGTCAAGAAGATGAGGGGACACCTCTCTCTTCGAAGCTTTTTGCGAAGCACGGGCTGCTGAGCGCGGAGCAATGCGAATCCCTTGAAAAGGGAGCTAAGKGTTGGATCCGTCCTGGTGCTGAAGAAGATACCGATCCTCTAATTGCATGGCTCGGAGATCAAGTGGTCAAGTTCCAGGTAAAATACATGAAAGAGAACTTCGGCTTTGATGAAGACGAGGTAGACCTTGAATATGAACAGCTCAAAGAACTCGAGGCGGAGCAAGGGATTGAAGAGGATGACTACGAAAATCTTAGAGGACAATTCATCTTTCTGCGCGAAGCGTTGTGCGGATTGGTTCCTTCCAGTCTTCCAGAGACGGCCACTCTGGACTACCTGAGGCACTCTGATATGTGGAAGGCCCCAATCAAGGCACGTGGTGCGGTTTATGATGCTCTACGGAGCCAGCTTAAGACGGTTCTCTTGGAGCAGTTCCGAAAGCTCGCCGCTGCCTACACAAGGAACTGCGAAGATCTTCGGATTGGAAAGTGGGAACGAGACTACCTCATTCTCCGGAAGGCCAAGATCATTGGCATGACTGCGACAGGCTTGAGCAAATACAGGGCCCTGATATCCAGTGTGAAACCAAAGATCATCCTGATCGAAGAAGCAGCTGAGGTCATTGAGGCCCCGATAGCCGTTGCTTGTCTTGACTCGGTCCAACATATGATACTCGTGGGTGATCACCAACAGCTCAAGGGTCATTGCGCAGTGCAAGACCTTGAAGGTGAACCTTTCCATCTGGATGTGTCCATGTTCGAGCGCCTTGTGAAGAACGGAATTGGGTACGTTACTCTGAGCCTCCAGAGGCGTATGGTACCGGAAATTCGCCGCCTGTTGGAGCCTATATACGGAGAACTGCAAGATCATCAAAGTGTCCTCCGGCGTCCAAAAGTTCCGGGCATGGGCGACCTCCGATCTTTCTTCTTCTCGCACAGCTGGCCAGAAAGCAGTGACAGCCTGGCGTCCAAATACAACGCGATGGAGGCGGAAATGATCGTGGGATTCTTTGTTTACCTTGTGCTCAACGGCGTGTCGGTCGACAGCATAACTGTTTTGACGTTCTACAATGGCCAGAGGAAGAAAATATTGAAGCTGATGAGGAATCATCCGTACCTCCAGGGCCAGTATGTCAAGGTCGTGACGGTCGATTCATACCAGGGAGAAGAGAACGATATTGTCATTCTCTCCCTGGTGAGAAGCTCAAACGCAAAGGGCATCGGGTTCTTGTCAGTGCAAAACAGAGTGTGCGTTGCAATGTCCAGAGCAAAGAATGGGTTTTATATCTTTGGGAACGCAAAGCTCCTTTACACTGCCGATGCGCTTTGGCGAAAAGTGATTACCATCATGGCCAGCGAGTGCCCTTGCCGAAGCATCGGATTCCAACTGCCTTTGACGTGCCAGAGACATGGCAACACTACTCTCAAGCAAGGTTGGTTCACACGATAATGGTCTCAAAAACTTATGCTGACTGGGGGTGTTGAAGAGCCTTCGGACTGGGTAAAAACGAATGGTGGGTGCCGACAACCATGCGAGGAGCCACTGGATTGTGGACACAAGTGTGCCCTTCAATGCCATAGGTGAGTCATCAGACGGTTTTGACGCCGAGCAGCTCCCACTGACGCAGTGTCTTTCAAGCTTCCCACATGATCTGGTCGAATGCGAACAGCGTTGCAACCTCCGAATGCTTTGTGGTCATGTCTGCGACAAACCTTGTTCAGAAAATCATGACTGCTTCTGCAAGTGCGAGTTGAGTTCATCGATGTTATCAGAAATGGAACCGGCAAACGTGGCAGGGTCTTCGATTGACCATCGACCGAAGGTCTCGACGGAGGAGGAACTAAAGAAACAGGCAATCAGAGGCTACCAAGAATTTGCGCAATGGGGAGCTAAGCAGCAAGATATTCTCTTGCTCAGAAAAGCAAACCCGAGAAGCTTGGCCACGATGCAGAGAGAAAACCACAATGTTATTCTCACTAGCGATTCCAGCTCAACGCGTCATAGGAAAGGGAAGAAGAAGGCCTCTGCAGTCTCTGCTAAAAAGGACGGGATATCGAGGGCCGCGCAAGAGGAAACGCTTCTGGACGACTGATCTGTCGGGGTCAACAGTGCAAGTTGATATTGCTTGTGGCAGGAATGCGAGGGGAACCTATCCTCCTGAGTTGTACGATAGTCAGCTGGGGTAGAGGAGAAGGAAGATGTATGGAGCAGATTCTGCCTAGGCATAGTTTCAGCAATATCATATGAAACATCGAAGATTCTGAGTGTTCATTTTCTCATGCCAGGGCGTCTTTGATCCCTCAGATTATTGTGTGAGGAGGCTTATAGGGTTCAGGAGCAGAGAAAGTAAGGACCATCACTTGGCCTACGTACTTTAGGGCTGGACTTGAGGAAATGTAACCACCCTCCCTACCCTCCCTACCCATAACCCACAACAATAAGTAGAACAGCTGCGCAAGTGCTCTTTTTTCTGCAAAAGGTAATAGATACTTGCAGGTACCCTTAGATCTTGGAGATGGAATCCACGGTAGCCTTAAGGTCCTGACCCACTCTCTGGAAAGGAACTGATCGCGGAACTGAAAGCTGCGCTGTATCTAATCGATATTATCTACCCGAGGGTAAAGTGCAAACCGATCGAATGATTACTCTTGATACCCATCGTGTCTAGTTGATATGATATATCCCCAGTCCGCTGGCCATCGTGCAGTCAGTTTGGGAATGGTGCTGTTTTACTGTTGTTTGTTGTTCTGGTTCAGATACCAGCCAGTATTGGTAGGTACCTAGTACTGCTTGGTGCAGCAGATCCAGGCCCACCTAGTACTGCCTTCCATGTTTTTGTTGTGCCCCCTTTCGTTTTCACGCTGCAATTTGTGTCTGGCATCTCAGCCCGCCAATTGGAATCCAACGCCCAAGACTATCTCCATCGTCCGTCAGCCTCCACCTACCTACTGTACCTAACTTACGGTCCTTACCCTTGCCTAGGTACCTATTATTATTATTATTCACTTCCCATCTATCTAATCTAGTCTATAGTCTGGATCGAACAGTCGAGAATCTCGCCTGTCCCTTTCTTAATCATCACTAGCTCAGTTGCGTTTCCGGAACTTTCCTCAAGGCATGGGTGTGTTTGTGTTACTTCGTTTACTACTGCTAGTACCTCCTAGAATCATGCTACGGACTCTCAGCCCTCTCAGGTACTTTTCCTGAACCTTCTGGCTGTCTCAATCCGGTAAACAAGCCACATAGTCAGTTATACACCTGCACCGTCCACAACCCCTCTTTGGGCGGCTGATTACCTGGGTCCCGGCCGCCTCTTCCCTCCGATCAGATTATGAAATTCAGACTATCGTTACTCGCTTCGGATTTCCATTGTCACAGAGGTCACAATACCTGACCGCTCGGCCTTATCCACATGGCTGAGTTTGTCCGTGCTGAGATCTTGGGTACGAAATTCGAATACACTACGAGGCATGTTTGTTTTCCTGCTCGTTGCGCTTGGTCTTGGGACCAACAGCTGCCGAAATGATCAAGGTCGTCTGGCTAACTACTATGATTTAGATATGTGAACCCGCAGCCCATTGGTATGGGGTCTTTTGGCCTCGTCTGGTACGTACTTACTACGGTGGCATTGCCCCTGTTTACTGGCTCTTGAAGCTTCTAACTGCGTATCGTCACTAATAAAGCGTGCACCACTAGCTCGGCCTTCGATCAGATAACCCAGCAGCCAGTTGCATTGAAGAAAATTATGAAGCCTTTTGACAGCTCGTCTCTGGCTAAGCGTACATATCGGGAAATCAGGCTACTGAAGTATCTTCGGCATGAGAACGTATGGTGTCCTGATCCTGTTGGCGAGGGGGGGATTGACCCTGGATTCTAGCTCATTTGTCTGCGCGATATTTTCATATCTCCTTCGGAGGACATGTAGGCGACTTTTCTCATGGCATCTTCGCCTTCTTTGTTTTTAATGCCTTTTGCTGGTATACTGATATCAGGTTAGCTACATAGCTACAGAACTTCTAGGGACTGACCTCGGACGCCTTTTGAGCCTCAAACCTCTTGACAGCAAATTCGCACAGTACTTCATCTACCAGATCTTAGTATGAACACCGATGCTGAGGATGACACCAACCCGCCTTGCTGACTGTCAATAGCGAGGCCTGAAATACATCCATTCCGCTAATGTGATTCACCGTGACCTGAAACCAACCAACATTCTCATCAACGAAAACTGCGATTTGAAGATATGCGATTTCGGTCTCGCCCGGCAGCAGGAGCCCCAGATGACCGGCTACGTTGCAACGAGATACTACCGCGCCCCGGAAATCATGCTAACATGGCAGAGATACGGAGTTCAAGTGGACGTTTGGAGTGCCGGCTGTATCCTCGCTGAGATGCTACGGGGTAAGCCGCTTTTTCCTGGGAAAGACCACGTTCATCAGTTCCACCTCATCACAAACATCCTTGGAAATCCTCCTGATGCGGTGATTGAGAAGATCACCAGTAAGAACGTAAGTCGCACAGGGGCACTTGATTCACTAATTCAAGATTCGTCTCCCCACTGATTTTGACATGTAGACCGTGAACTTTGTGAGATCTTTGCCGTCACGAGAGCCTCGAGACTTGTCGACTGTCGTCCCGAAAGATACTGATTTCGATGGTAAACACCCTCTGCGGAAGATAAAAGAATGGCTGGACACAGATAATAACACACCCCTCTATAGCCATTGACCTTCTCAAGAAGATGCTGGTTATTGATCCCGACACAAGAATCTCCGCCCAAGACGCTCTGAGACATCCCTACTTGGCTCCGTATCATGACCCTACCGACGAGCCTGTAGCTTCAGGGCCTTTCGATTGGTCATTCGACAGCGCAGACCTCCCGAAAGAGACCTGGAAGATTATGATGTCAGTGTTTGAGTTCCGTCCACATTGATTCTTGACTGATTGTGCGGCCGTCCCTATAGATATTCCGAGGTTCTTGACTATCTCAACGTCGACAACCCAGCCGACCCAACCGCGTTTGATCCATCTACACCCTTTGATCCTAGTGCTCTTGAGCGGGAGTTTTCAGAATTTCTCAGTGATTCAGGCCAAATCTAATTTAAGACTGATCGGTTGCGCAATCCTCAAGCCGCCCATTGTCTGTCTAAACCGGCCAAGTGACTAGGTAATGGTATTTTGCAGAAGACGGTTCCATGGAACATGTAGATCGTCAACCCAACCTCAAAAATCAGTTATCCAACCGCAGGCCCGGTGACAACTCAAAATACTGCCAGTACGCCGAGAACGATTCTTTCATGATGAGATTGACATCACACCACGTCAACCCCTCTTTCTTAATGTTTGAGCGAGATATCCTAGCCTGAGAATTTCACGATTGATAATGAAATTATTGATGATTCTTTTTACTTATTCCTCCACTTGCTATGTAGAATTGCTCAACCCTTGTATAAGTTAGGAATCGTCTTATCCCTTGTCTGTGTACCAATACTCACTAACAGGTCCCGCCATTTGGCTGGAGGTAAGCCATCAGACCATGGAATTGAGCGGCCTGACTCGAGCTCTTCAGAACTGCGTTGTTTGATATCGCTTCAATTGTCCCATTCTTACTCATATCAGAAGACAACATGTATCTCAACACTCAAAACCTCCTGCTTGGCTCTCTCGGTCTCGCATTACTCACAAACCCTGCCATTCCATCACCAACACCTACACCCACAAATCATCCTGGGAGATGGGCCCTCCATCTCTATCAGAACACCCGATGCTCAGGAGAAGATACCCTCTACTCGGGCTCTGCCTCACTCAAGTGTGAAAATGAGATATTGAACGGTGGTGCGTTGGGCTACATCAGTGAAATACACCAACCGCCTTGCGATGTGGCTCTGTTCAGCGATGAAAACTGTAAAAACTCGATTGGAAATATTGCGCCGCAAAGTCCGAGGAAGTGCCAGGTTCCCAAAATTCAAGGGAAGAAGGTTGAGATCCGCAGTTTCGAGGTGAGGTGTTAGTGACAGCGTGATTGATTACATGTCTTGTCTGTATGACGTATGGGTTTATTGCAGTTTAGAAGATGTGAGAGATAAATAGCAAAAGTTCCCGCAATGAATATCCCAAAATACTCCAGAAACCAGAAGACAATGAGAACTATGAGACTGTTCCGCTATTGTCCGCGCAGGAGAACGCTTGGTCAATCCGTCCGTTGCGGTACGCATCCATGATCTGCACCACTACCCCATACGTGCCTCCGATAGTCATGAAGACCCCTAGTAGAATCATACCCACATGCAGACCGTAGATGACGAGCCGCCCGACGCTCCCACGCCGGTAGTGCTGGTGACTATAAATCCACAGCCACCCGGGCAGGCAGATCGCCAGCGGCGAAAAGCAGAGACTCCCCACCAAGGCAAGGACATATGTGAAGATGGGGATGGCGCTGGCCAGAATGAATGAGATGGCGGACAGGCTTACGGTGCAGCCCAGCCAGGTCCCCCAGTGGACGAGCGTGTTCGCCTGGAGATGCTTCGAGTGTCGCAGGATCCGCACGAAGAGGTACTTTGCGCCGACGTGCACGTACAGCGCACCGCTGACGACGAGGCCGGGGAGGGCGATGCCGTACGCGACGCGCTTGACGGTCTCGCCTGCGCTGCCGAGCGAGGGCGAGGCGATCCACTTCCCGCACCAGGCGTAGATGACCAGGCTGAAGGCGAGGTAGGAGGCCGTCACGAAGCTCATGCTTAGGTACACGGCTTTGGGGTAGTCTCTGGGCGTGCGCATCTCGGAGATGACGGGGAGGAAGGCGGAGGTTGCGGCGCTGGAGCAGAAGATTGTTGCTGAGGCGGTGATGCCTGCGGCGAAGGTGGGATGGCCGATGGCGCGGAAGCCGAGGTCGAAGGGGCCGGTTTGGGGGGCTGCAGCGGGTCGATCGCGGGTTGTGACGCCGATTCTGCGCGAGTCTTCGTCGGCTTGTGTGTCGTGGAGGGGAGGAGTGGATATGACTTACACGATGATGAACACGGCGGCGAAGACGCTGAAGAACCCAACCCAGGTGAGCCAGCCGACGTGGGCGAACTTGCGGACGCTCGCGAAGAGGGCCACGATGGCTGTTGAGACGAGAGACCAGTGCACGGTGCACATTGCATGTCGGGACAGGGCATTGAAAGCAGCCGAGACGCCGATGATGCCGGAGGAGGCAGTGATCACATAGGCCAGGATGAACATCACGCCTACGATCTCTCGCACGAGCGGACCCCAACGGCCTCCGGCTAGATGCACCATGTCCACGATCGAATGGCAGCCGGGATATGAGTTTCGGAAGTTGCCCAGGACAATAGCGCCATAGGCGTTGAGGGTGCACCAGCCTACAAGGTTGACGGCGCCAGGGAACGCACCCAGGTCATACATGACCGACGGAATGGAGAGGATGCCGGTGGCAAAGATCACTATAGGGTTTAGTCAGGGCATGCAATGGTGTCAAAGCAGATATGGAATACCCTTGAGGAAGATGACAGCGGCCTGAAGCCAATCGACAGTGCGAAAGTCCACCTGGCCCTCTCCTTTCTTGAAGATCTCAAAGCTATCTTCACCGGACTGGTAGTTCTCCGACTTGGAAACCGCGACATCGTCTACGAACGGTCCAGCAGGCGAGATTTTGAGGCCTTTGACCTCGGTAGGGGAAGTTGACATGGTGGTCGCAGCTCAATTAGAACGATGGTCTGCGAATCGAACTTCGCCATGTGTCGTGGATGTTGGATTTTTATATACCCCATCATCACCATACTGCTCACTTGGACAACCAAACTGGAATCAGGACATGCGATAAGGTTCCCATCCCAAGCTACAATCATGATATCCGATAGGGCAATGATAAAACTAAACGCTCAGCGTGCTGATCCACATTTCCACATGGAGGAAAGATAAGAAGCTGGAAAAGCCTAAACCCCAGAGTTGGAGTAACTGTCAACCGGAAAAAGATGGAGTAAGAAAGACTGACTATCATTTCGAGGATCACAAGTCGTAATTGTTAGTCACTACTATAGGAATCTGGGGTATTTCAGTATCTTGCAGCTTCATTCCTGGCAGTTGGAGTACTGGACGGGAGTGTTGGAGACAATCGATCTATAGACTATCACTAGTAGCATTTGGGCACCATGAAGTTAATCCCTGAGATATTTGATATTCATTTCGGAAAATTGTCCAGTAATTAGGGTAAACAGACTTTAACTAATTACTTCTTGAAAATGGCGCCTGGTTCGGCTGGCATGAGCGCGCCTTCAGGTGCTGGGTTTTCCTTCTTGAAGATGTCGCAGACTTGCTCCATGGTCACGAATTCCACTCCGTCGTGCTTTTTAAAATGCTCGATGAGTCTTTCATGCATGAGAAGCACAGGTGGCCGCCCGGAAACGTCGGGATGGATTGTGATGGGGAAAATGAATGTATCATACTCCCGGTAAAAGTAGTCAAAGTGATCGCGCCAGATGTCTTCAACATCACGGGGGTTGACGAATCCATGACTGTTCGAGGCTGCTTTGATGAACATCATCGGAGGAAGGTCGTCGATGTACCAGTTTGCAGGGATCTCCACAAGCCCCGTCTCCTGACCAGGAACCAGAGGCTTCATCCACTCTTCCGCTCTCTTGCTGTAGTCGATCTTGGTCCAGGAATCTCCTGTTCGCAGATAGTACGCTTGACAGTCTTCGTGGCTCATGCTGTGGTCGTACTCGATCCCGTAGTCCAGGAGCAATTGAGCCCCTTCTTTGCTCGTTTCCCACCTGCAGCTCCTGTGTCAGCAGGAAACTACTTGCGACATACAGAAAAGAACCTACCAAGGGGCAACGCTTCCGCGAGGCGGCTTTCCGCAGAACTCGGTCAGCATTCGGTAGGTTTTGTCTAGGACATCCCGCTGCTGTTCGATCGTCATGTCCTTCGGGTTCTCGTGCGAATATCCATGGAGACCGATCTCATGACCAGCGTCGCGCACGGCGGCCATCTCTTCAGGGAATGATTCTAACGAGTGACCCGGAATGAACCATGTCGATTTGATGCCGTACTTGTCGAAGAATTTTAGAAGACGCCTCGTCCCGACAGTGGCAGCCCAAACACCTGTTCATGGCCAAGTTAGCAACTGAGGAACCCGTCAATCCGCATTGACAGCATAAATCACCTCTGCTGATGTCATTTGTTGAGTCTTCTCCTCCATAAGAACCAAGCCAGCCGGCAACTGCATCAACATCAACGCCGTAAGTGATGAGAACACGCTTCTTGCCCATTTCTGCAATTCGAGCTTTGTATCAAGGTTGGAGGCTTTCGTTAGTGGAGGTGCAAATGGGGAAGTATAACGAATTCTAAGTCGTCGGCGAAGTGCCGCAAGGTCGAGTTCTTCAAGAATATAATTGTTGAAACTAGACGTTTTTCCAATCAGGCGCAATGATTTCAGCCAAGAAGCCAGTCTTGGTTCGCCGATTTAAGCGTGTAGCTGAAGGGCAGACTCGACGCTTATCGGACTTTGTACTCCTCTTGTGCGGCGATGGAGATGTTCCCCTCATCCCCAGGATAATGGATTTGATAGCAGTGGAGCTCACGACGACTATTCTGATATGGTAATGTTCATTCGGCTGTTGATCATTATTGATAACTCCAACCCAGAAGTGGGGTCTTGACAGAAGACTCCAAAATCTCATCTCCAACCTGCATGATAAGGAGATTTTGGAGTCTTCAAGTTGGAGCACTTGTCATCCTTCTACAACGACATCTGTCTTGAGTTAAGCTCTTGAGGAGGAGGTTGTGTAACCAATTCTTTTCTTCAATCTTTCCAAGACATCGCCGGCCTCTTCCACACGCCCAAGTTGTGTATATTCGAGGCTCACCATGTCAGTCCTGTTTACCTCGATTTCCCGGTAAGTTCAATCTAGCGTGATGCATCATAAGTACAGAATTTAAGAAGCTCGTACAGAGACAACCCTGTGAAGAAGGAAGACGCGCAACTCCTTCTGAATAAATTTGGCCTCTCAGTAAACCCTGATGAAGCAGATGATTTCCATACTCTCCTAGCAGCCGTCCATGACTGCGCAGAGGACGTCGCGAAGCTACCAGATTACCAGCCTGTACCTGATCTATCACGTTATCCACGGCAAAACATACGGCGACCGTCGCCGGAGGAGCAGGTTTTTGGTCAGGCGTGGGCGCATAAATTCTTGATCAAGGGTAACTCCGATGGAGGTCCCCTGGCTGGAAAGACGGTCAGCTTGAAAGATTGCATTGCAGTTGCTGGGGTCCCTCAGCTACTGGGCAGCGATGTGATTCCGTCTTGGACACCGATCACCGATGCGACAGTCGTTACGCGACTCCTGGATGCCGGTGCTGATATTCTGGGAACCTCGACGTGCGAAAACTTCTGCCATTCCACCGGCTCCTATACTAGCGCTCAGGGTATAGTTGAGAATCCTTTTGCGTCTGGTTATTCTGCCGGTGGTAGCACATCTGGCGGGGCTGCTCTGGTGGCTGGTGGCTTGGTGGATATTACAATAGGTGGTGATCAAGGTGGGAGTATCCGAGTGCCTGCGTCACTATGTGGCTGTATGATTGCCCCAGATAAGACAGTTGAATGTCTCACTGATATTCTCCCGCAGGCGTTGGTCTGAAGCCCACACATGGCCTGGTTCCGTTTACCGGTATTGCAAGTGGCGATGCGGTGAATGACCATGCCGGGCCACTGGCTCGAAACGTGCAAGATATTGCCCTCTGCCTGGATGCTATCAGTGGCTATGACGGAATAGACGACAGATCGCTCGGCAGTCCCAAGCCCGGATCAACAGCGTTTGCTCAGACACTTCAGGCAGAATCGACGAGGCTCGACGGCTTCAGGATTGCGTTGTTGAAAGAAGGATTTGAGCACGCGGCTGTCGACCCCGCAGTCAGGGACTGTGTCAGGACGGCCGCACAGAGATTCAAAGAGCTTGGTGCCATCGTGGACGAGATTTCACTCCCCGAGCACTTGCAAGGGCCCGCCATCTGGACAATCCAACAGCGCATAGCAGGCTCCATGAACCTTCTGGGGCATGCACACGGAAGAAGAGGCCTGTATCTGACTGAAATGGAGCGCGCCAGGCTCCCGTGGACGAACGATAGCTATCAGAGAGCCTTTCCAGCAACGAAGAACGTCATCATCAACGGGTTGTACCTCAGCTCGCGGTTCCCAGATCTCTACGGCAAGACCATGAACATCGGCCGGAGGCTTCGAGATCTCTACGAGGCGATCTTTGAGCAGTACGATGTGGTGATCATGCCTACTACTCCGGTCGTTGCACCTAGACACGGAAAGCGTGGTCTTCCATTGGAGTCGGTGAAGCCGAGCATGGGTCTCACGATAAATACTGCAATTTTTGACGTAACTGGCCAGCCCGCAATGTCCATTCCTGTTGGATTTGCCCCGGCCAAGGACAATGCGGACGTCCAACTGCCGGTCGGGATGCAGATTGTAGGAGGACTGTGGCAGGAATCGAAAATCTTGCGAGCCGGTCGTGCGTGGGAGACCCATTTCAACTGGAAGGAGAAATGTTTACCATGAATGTTTAGACTAGATACGGTCGATTCGGCACTATCTGTTGTATAAGCTAATAGAGTCCTTGTGAAGTACATTTTGCCTAGTTGATAATATAGCCACCATCAACAACCATAGCATGGCCCTGCACGAAGGAGGCAAACGTCGAACATAAAAAGAGAACCGCATCTGCCACCTCTTCTGGCTTGCCCATCCGTTTCATCGGCGCAATATCCACAGCAGGCTGTAACCGCGCACGTACCTCCTCATTGCCGGTTGTCATCGGGGTCTCAATGACCCCCGGACAGACACAATTCACGCGAATGCCGTCCGCAGAATAATCTATTGCGTCGGCTCGAGTCATGCCAATAATGGCGGCCTTGGAGGCGCAGTATGCTGCTGTTGTTTTTCAAAAGAGTATCAGTAGACGCTCAAGTGGTATCTCGAGCCGAAGAAACAGGAGCGCTTACGAGCTCCAGGGCGTGAGACAATCCCCAGCTGACTGGCGATATTGACAATACTCCCCCGTTGCGGCTCACGGCCCGGATTATGGCTCGGCAGAGGATCCTGTTTGAGCATCTGCTTCAACTCTGCTCTGGATGACAGCCAGCAACCCCTGTAATTAATATTGGTAATCCGGTCAAAGACCTCCGTGCTTGTCTCTGTTGATCGACCCGAGTCCCCAAGTATCCCGACGCAGTTCACTGCATAATCGAGACGACCGAATGTGCTCACCACTTCATTCATAAAGGCCTCGACAAATTGCTCGTCCGCCATATTCCCTGCTCTCACTACCAGACGAATGTTGGGGTGGAGAGAGAAAATAGCATCTCGCGTCTTTTCCAGAGAGGATTCGTTGATGTCTGTTAGGCCTACTCGCTCGCATCCTGCGGAGGCAAAGGCTTTTGCAACAGCTGCACCAATCCCTAGGAAATTTCAGCAACGAGGGATTGCCTTTTCTGAAGACTTGCTCGAGTCGACGTCTAAGGTAGATAAGACTGTACCTGTTCCGCCGGCCCCGGTGATGACTGCAACACCGGGGAATGAATACGCTCGCAGCATAGCTGTATTTTTCCGAGATAGTATCTCTCTTGCTGTGACGACGGCGTTGAAATCGCTCAACCAGACCCAAGTATCCTGCTAGATAATGATCTTGATGCTTATCGTGGGAGCGGGGTAAGGAAGAGCATCAGGTACTGTACCTACAGTGTCCGTTGGGGTCATCTTGCTTATCTACCTATTATCTTTCTACCCCGCTCAGCCGTTGGAGTCAGTCACGTACTGTATAGTACTCCGTACTGTATAGCCTGTATTGCCATTCCCCCTTCGACTCTGCCCCCGGTCGCACTTTTCCTCTCCGAGTCCAACCTCCAAAGACTCCCAGTCACAAGTCCACTTGCTCAACCTTGTCGTCTCCAAGTGGAGAGATCTTCTTTCTTTAGTATCAGTTCCAGAATTAATTATTATTGTATTGTTATGCACCCCAAATGTCTTGATGCTGTCTCAGTCGTCGCAGCCCACTCGCGGCCCTCGTCGCTCAAGCGTTGGAGCAAAGACTCGCGTATGCGTCCATTGCGGTCGGAACTTCAGGAGAACAGAGCATCTCGAGCGGCATATCCGTACTCGTAAGGACCTCTCCAATCATCTCCAATAAGCCTTGCTTTTTGTTTATTGGCAACTATACTGTAGACATGTCTTGCTGATGGCTCTGCTCAGATACGAAAGAGAAGCCGTTCGTCTGTTTCTGCGGGGCGGCTTTTACACGCCGTGACCTCCTCAAGCGGCACACACGTATCTTGCATCAAGACAATGGCCTCGCTTCACCTAGCGCTCAATCTGAACAGGCAGCCAAGGATCAGGTTCAGCCAGTGGGGATTCAGGTGCCCAAAGAGGCTGAATCCCATATTGCCCAAGAGATTCATGATGCACAACCTATGCCGCGGGCAGAGGTTCCTCTCCCTGTAACCCCTACTATAGGGCAATGGCCCGGTGCCCATCCTGCATCGTATCTGACAGGCGAGCAAAACATGCTCCACGACCGTGGTAACAATACGGGCCTGGAGACGCATCCAGCAGTGACTCATGATGCGGACATTCTTCAAGCGGCACAGCTACTCCTCCCGGGTGCCTATCGAGACAATCAGCCCGTTGGTAGGCGATCGGGCGTCGTATTGATCAATCATCGGTTTGCTAATTGCTCTTAGTGCAACCTCTGCCGTACCTTCCTGAAGAGTTGAACCATTTTCAGGATTTCACTCATTTCCTGGACTCAATCGGCTTGCCGGCGGAATGGGTTCCCACCGAAGGTGAGATCTCGCAGGTTCACAGCGCAGTGCCTGCTGAAGTTCCCGATCCTGGCCGAGCAACGAGAGAGCAGCCTAGCTCAAATCGCCGTGGCCAGACGAGGGGATCCCGCGATGACTCTCCCTTCAGATCTTGGCTGCCCTCGGTACCGCCAGGGGACCAGAGCCTCGGAACTGTATCGGATCATGGTATGTTATCCGAGAAAATGAAAATGAGCTATTGTGTCTGACGTACAGATAAGAACCTCCCCAGACAGCAACGAATTATTCGCCTCTTAAGGTGAGCGAAGAACAGAGATTACGGCTCGCAACCTCTCTAGAGGAGTTCCGTCACTTAATTCCTGACTTTGTTTTGCCGTCTCGGCACACGCTGACGAGATACTTGACCTCATTCTTTGAGGGCTTCCATACTCACTTACCTTTCATACACCTCCCCACACTACGGATCAATGAACGCGCGCCAGAGTTGATATTAGCCTTCTTGACCGTGGGTGCTCAGTATCGGCTGGAGCACCGGAATGCCGAAAGGCTTTTCTACGCCTCAAAAGCAATCTTACTCCACAGGCTGTCAAAAGAGGCGCAGCCCTCCACTGGAGGGTCGTACAGCAATGCCATCCAGATGCCGCTCTCTACTGTTCCGGGAACTTTTCACCAACAAGCGCCTTCTTCGATTCCGCTTCCTTTAGGTAATGCTCCCGGATGGAGTGCCTGGCGGCAGATTGAAAACATCCGCACACTGCTTGTCTTGATGGGATTTGCAAGCTGGGAAGGACCTGAACTAGTTCAAGAAGCCTTTGGTTTACAGCACCTGCTAGTGAGGTGTTTGCGGGAATTTGGCTTAACTGAAAACATCGCAGTCACTCCGAGACATTCGCCTATGCATTGGCATGAGTGGGCCGAGGACGAGTCCGTTCGCCGTACTCGACTTGTCTCCTTCTGCTTTGTTCATGTCCACAGCATCGCGTACAATATCTACCCAGTGCTTCGAAGTAGCGAGGTACACCTGCGCTTGCCCTGTTCCACTCAGGAATGGAAAGCCGCCACAGCTAGTGAATGGGAGGCCGCGCAAAAGGAAGTTGGCTCGCAGCAGCTGTTCTTCCAGGATGCGCTGGCTCTACTTCTGCAGAAGTCACGAACGCCTGTCATGTTGGATCCGATCCCTTCGCCGTTGGGCAACTACATTCTGCTCCATGGCCTTCTACAGCGCATTCATTTGGTGAGCGAACTGTCCATCCCGAATGGCGACCAGTCATTTTCATTACCCACAGAGGAATTAAATAAACTGGAGTGAGTCTCGCTATATGTTTAACTGAAATATCACACTGAACGGCGAACTGACCATTGCATAGGAGGGCACTTCGTTCCTGGACTTCAGTGTGGCAGCAAGCACCGGAGTCAAGTCTCAACCCCCATAATGAAAATGGTCCCATTCCATTCACGTCGAGCTCACTTTTGGGGTTGGCCTATGTCCGTCTTTCTTTGAATCTAGGGCCCTACCGCCAGTTAGAGACCCGAGACCCGTACGTTATTGCCGCGGCGCTGCATCGATCACCGCGGCCGGGACGAAGCTATCGACTAACGCCTGCGCTGATCTATGCTGCACACGCATTAAGCATTCCTGTACGCCTGGGAATTGACTATGTTGCACGTAGTCAAGCCTTCTTCTGGAGTGTCCGACATTCTATTGCCAGCCTAGAGTGTGCCGTCCTCCTGAGCAAATGGCTACTGTCCCTAGCAGAGGCAGGAAGTCAAACAACGCTGAGTGGTATGAGGCGACAATTTCCCGATACTCTCGTCGATTGCTAACCTGCTAACTTCCAATTTAGAAAACGAAAGTCGAATCCTGCATTGGACACGTTGCATAGTCGAAGAGGCATATGCTTCAATGGATTTAGAAGATGGGGAGACACCCCCAAGTCAGGATCCACGAAGCCTTGGATATGCAGTTATCAAACTCTGGGCCCGCCTTTTCCGGCGAAACACCCAGTGGCCCTTCATCAACGTGATGGGGGAAAGTCTGGAAAAGTACCTGTCCTTGATCAGGCAGGGTTGAAGACGTGGCAACAGACAAAAGAAGAAGGAAGGATAACTCCAGAACTGCCTCGGAGTGACGCGGATAGTACCGAGCTCATTGAGTCCGGAACATCCGGGGCCTTACTTCTTGCGACGAAGCCTGCTTCGTCACCCGGTCAAAGACACCAGAGTGGCGACTTTTACGCCATCATTCATTAAAATTCAGGTGTAAAGGACTTGTAGCAGATGTGCCCACTACTCGAGCAGAAATTGCATAACGAATGGAATCACGACAGTTTTGGATACCAAGGGTGACCGGCGCATAGGGATCCAGTGTCTATACAATATTTGCGGTACATAGTGTGCTTCTTTTCTGATTTGACAAGGGACGTGTATATACGTGTATATAGGAACAAATCGCGTATCCGTACATATCATCATCGATTAAGATATTACCTTGTCATTATACGTGAATCCTCCTTAGAATCATCAAGTAACAGGACATTATTCTAAAGGAAGTAGCCCGCTTAGTCGATTACAGTAACACCATCCCTTCCACCGCATTAGGTACTGAGGCCACGAGGATTTCCTGCCTTTGCAGGCGGCTTTAAAAAGAACGCAATATATAGTTCTTTTAACTTTTTACCAGAAGTTTCTCCTGCTAGACCCCATAATAGTGGCAGTACCAGAAGCGGAGCTAGACGAGGCGGTCGACGAGGAAGATCCCGAGCTCGACGAGGAGTTGCTACCAGGGGTAGCAATCAATGGCCCGATGGTAAGATTACCGCAGGGGGGCTGAGGCGCCGAGACGCATCCCTTGAAGAAGCGGCCAAGCTGGCCGGGTTGGGTGCCGTTGGAGAGCACGTAGTTGGGGTCGTAGGCGCGCACCAGCGAAGTAACATTGCTCTCGAAGACGACGGCCTCCTGGGTGGTCGCTAGGTATGCGGCGTGACCGGCGTGCTGGGCGGCCAGACGGGCGATCAGGAAGGAGACCTCGGGGGCCTGGGTGTAGCCCGCGAGCCCGACGAGGGCGGCGGAGACGTTGGACTCGTACGCCTGGGCGGTGGTGAGGAAGACCTCGCTGCTGTTTGCGGCGGGGAAGGTGAAGTTGCAGCCTGGTGCGGTGAAGTTGCTGGTTCTCTTGCCAAGTTGCTGCGCGGCGCGGACGCCGAGGCGGTTCTGCTGGTCGATGCCCTGCAGGTTGGAGACGTAGTTTGCGTTGGAGCTGTTCAGCGCCGAGCTGAGGAAGGTCTGGTTGACCGGGACGGAGGCGTAGTATTGCTGGACGAACCATTCGAGGGCCCAGACATACTGGGCTACCTGGACGTCGCCAGACGAGGGGGTGCAGAAGCTGTTGTTTTGGGCGGCGGTGGTGGCCGCGCCGGCCAGCATGAGGGCGCTCAATGTCGGGAGGATACGCATGGTGAGAGTCAGAGAGTCACTTGGTTTAGACTGAGTGATGCGTCTAGGCTGTACGAGAAGTTGATTATACTTCAAAATCGAAACGGAACACAGCTTGTGCCAAGCGTACTTCAGCTGAGTGACTCTCTTATAAGCTCCCCCGGAGGCACAGCCCAAGTCCTTGCAGTCATTATGAACAAGGAGAACTATTTCAACCGGTCATGAATGCAACCATATGATGAAATCCGGACTATTCCCGCGTACAATTGAGTTTGTTCAAGCGGAAATCTATATTGCATAGATCTGTCTTCCGGGCTCCGTTGCATCATCGACACCGGCCACTAGAAACTTTGTTTCCTCGGAACCAGTCGCAATTCACACCGAACAATGGTCGAACAACAAGAATGCTTCGACCTAGACCCTGCAATTCGGATTCATCTGCATGGTACGAACCTGAGGGGTACGCGTCCATCTGTTGAGATATCCGATCACTTGGCCACCATGATCTCATGAACGGCGAGGGTCCCGTACGGCTCCGAGAATCTGGAGCCCTGATATCATGTCCGCATCGGTGAGGCCGAGTCAAGGGATCATCCCTCGTCTTTGAGATCCAGTAGCATTGTTTCTCAAGATTGGCTGTCCAACATCAAAATTTGCGGCTGGATCCCAAGAGAGCTGTTTCAGGCGTTAGAGATGGATGTATGGCGCCTGTGACGTTCGACTCTTACCCTTTTGCGCATCGATGGTTATGTTGCGCTAGTCCCAAAGAAGAATAGATTGATGGCTGAGGCATCACTCAACTAGCTAACTACTATCCACAGTGCGCTACTCAGAACGAAAGAAAATTGCAGCATTCTCATAATAACAATATGCGGTCTTGTCGAATATGAACATGAGATGTAAGGAGAAGCACTCTAATCGCCATATGCGCTAGAATATTAATACTGAACAGTCCTAAGAATAAGGTAGCCTCCCCAAAAAGATATACGCAACTTTTGGTCCCTATAGCTGTAACAGGAACCCAAACGATGAAGGGAAAAGGAAACGATTAACGGGCAGTATGTATGTATTGAGCTCTATGAGTCATCAACAAGGCGCTTGTTTTCCCATGCCTTTTTCGCGCCGTCCAGGAGGACCTCTAGATTGCCACTGTTCTCGCACATGCTACGGAACAGCCCATCTGACTTGTTGATCAGCGTCCACGGATGATCGTACTCGATGACCCGACCATGATCAAGCACTAAGACTTTATCATAGTCGATGATGGTTTGCAGGCGGTGTGCAATTGTGATAATGGTGCTCTCTCGCAACTCCCGCAACGTTTCTTGAATCTTGGAATCCGTGTTATAGTCGATAGATGCGGTCGCCTCATCCATCATCAGGACCTTGGGGTTCTTCAAAAGAGCGCGCGCAAGGCACAGAAGCTGCCTCTGGCCTTGAGACAGATTCGAGCCTGATTCGGAGACTGGAGACTCCAGATTGCGGAAGATATTCTTGTTATCTTGAACAGCAGCGCCATCCACGTCGGCTCCATGGGCCGATATGAGGTGCGGTTCAGCGACTGACACGGTGCTGGCCGTAATAGGAGTTGCCGATCCTGACGTCCCCGACCCGATGAGATGGACACGACCAAGGGCTGTGAAGATCTGTTCATCGCTGAATAGGTGGAACGGATCAAGGTTGCTTCGAATGGTTCCTGTGAAAAGAGTCGGATCCTGGGGCACAATGGTAATTGCCTCCCGCAAATCGCGGAGTCCAATGGTGCCGATGTCTAGTCCATCAATGAGAATCTGTCCCTTCTCTGCCTCAAGTCCCCGGAAAAGCGCAAGCGCAAGGGAGCTCTTTCCGGCACCTGTGCGGCCAACGATACCGACCTTTTCGCCGGGCTCGACTGCAAATGACACACTTCGAAGGACAGGATCAAGGTCAGGCCGATACCGGGTAGTGTAATTGATAAATTCGACGGCGCCTCCAGTGGGCCAGTCGGCGGGGGGTCTCGAGTCGACAATTACTGCCTTGGCTTCTTGCTCAACGTCAAGGTACTCCTTCACTCGTTCAACTGAGTTCATGCTCTGCTGAACTTCCGAGTACAGGCGAACCAGCCACAGCACGTTCTCGGTGAAAGTGACTGCATACGTGAGAGACAGACCAGCAGCACCAGCGTCAACTTTCCCGATATTGATCAGAACGAAAGCGGCTGTGAAGAACGAAACTAAGGCGCCCGTGATGTCCACACGGAATGCCAGCCAGCGATTTGCAGCCCAGAGATATATGTGGGGACGGTTGTAGGAGTTGATACGCCGGTGATTGTCGACTATGAACCGCGGGCCATCGCCATACGCACGAATGGTGACGATGCCGTTCAGGGTCTCACCGAACTGCTGGTAAAGAGGACTTCGCTGTACGGACTCCAGTCTCTTCATATCACGAGACGCGTTGAGATAAACAGCCCCTAGAGCGAAATAGATCATAGATATGAAGATTGCCGCGATCAGGAAACCAGGAGTTATAGCAGAGATCAAAATCACTATCATGATGACGGATGCCAAGCAGTGAATCATACCAATAGCGACAGGGGCGACTTCTTGGTCGACAGCTTCTATATCCTTGGAGAACCGGTTCATCAACTGACCCAGTGGGGTTGAATCGAAGAACTTGAACTTGGCATGCATTACGGTATCTAGAAGGCGCCTGTGGATCCGGGAAGATGCGTTGAGAGAGCCCCAGAAGAGAACACCCTCCCTCAATAGGGAGATTAGGACGTAGCCAATTCCCAGAACTGCGTAGACACCCAAATAGTAGGAGACATTCACATCGCCATCGGTCGCTGGACTTCGTTGTACACCGAGCTGGGGAACGTAAGAGTTGGAGGTGCGTGGAACACCCCCAGCATTGAATGACGGGTACTTGAAAGCTGTCGCAGCAGCATAAGTGCCAGCATCAACCGAGCCGCTTTCTTCAGTCTGATAGGAATTCGCCCACTGTCTGATCCAGATGTTGGTCGAGACAGATCCCAATTGCTGCAAGCTGAAGACAAGAGCAGCACTTATCCAGTAGTACCAGGGACCCATCGATCTGAGGTAAAGCCGAATGGTCGACCACTTGATACTCCCGACAGCTTTCGATTCAGTCAGCTTCGACTGTACATTGTCCCCTTTCTGATCCTGCGTAGTCGGTTTGCTAGAAGATCCGTTCACCTTTCCGTTTGTCGAGGGCTGTTCATCTGTGTGTTCATCACCCGCGTCAGATGGCATGCGTGATAGACGAGGGGTACTGGCTCTCGAGGCGGGCCGAGACCTGAAATAGTCTTCACCAAAAACGCCCGAACTGGCGACATCATCAGGGCGTCCTTGAGCGGTGATTTTACCATTGTCGAGGGCGACGACAAAATCGGCTTGAGGAACTGTCAGAGCGACGTTGTGAGTGACTAGTACACAGGTTCGGTTCATCATCAATGGACCTCTGAGAGCCTCTCGGAAAATGTGCTTTGCTGTGTGAGAGTCCACAGCACTGAGACAATCGTCGAGCAATAGATGACGAGCCCTGCTGTAGATAGCGCGAGCCAGTGAGATCCTTTGCTTCTGTCCTCCAGAGAGACTGATTCCTTTCTCGCCAACCATGGTTTGATCGCCCGCATCGAGAATAGTCAAATCACGCTCGAGGGCACAGGCTTTAATAACGGCCCTGTAGCGACTCTCGTCAAAAGGTGAAGCGAACACAATGTTCTCTTTGACCGTAGCATTGACAAGCCATGCTTCTTGTGCACAGTATGCAACACTCTCAATGAGTCCAGTTTGGGGATCAACGGGTAATTCAGCTCGATTGGCCGTTCCGCCAGGTAGATGGACTCTGCCTTCTAGCAATTTCATTTCACCCAAAAGTGCCATCAATAAGGATGTCTTTCCGGAACCTGTAGGCCCAGCGATAATATTGAGTTTACCAATATGGAAAGACACGTTCATATTGATCAGACGGAAGGCCTCGCCATTGTCAGAGGCGTCTCCATGGCTGTCTTTCTTGGGAGTGCCCCAGGAAAGAGTAGCGTTCTCCAATGCAATCTGAGGCGGTGTTTCGGGATCCGCGCGTGCGCTCAATATGCTGTACTTCTCTGTCTCCTCTTCATTGAGATACGTATCCACACGGTCTAAGGAGACTTTTGATTCTTGAACATGAGCAACCATATCGGCCAGCTGATCCAAGGGTACCCGGAGTAAGGAGAACATCGACAAAGCCGGGAAAGCGATCGATGGTGTCAGTTTCTTCTTTTCAACCACCGTATACAAGAAGAACGAGGTGAAGGTGATGAGAATTGGTGTCCCGTACCAAACCGTTGCCGCGAATGACCACAGAATGTAGCGATTCCGTAGCGATTTCAACTCCGCTCTGCGCTTCTCGTCAATAATATCTTGGAAACGCTGTTCCCAAGCGAAATATTTAACAATACGAATGTTTTGAAGGACCTCGTTGGTCGCGTGAATACGTGCATCCGTTCCAGCCAAAATCTGGTTCTGCAACCTAGCGAAGCTTTTGGCGATAAAAAGATTTACCGGAAGCATAAGGACCATGAGAACGATCCCAGCGAACGAGCTAAAACCAAGGAGTCGATACAGAAGCGTGACAGCAATGATGATTTGGACAGGAACGCTAGCCCAGAGAAAGTGAAGATAGGCGCCCACTTCGCTGACCTTAAAAGAGTCAATGGCCATCAAGTTGATGATTGTGCCGACATTGGCTAATTGAGCCGGATCTGCCTTGGCTGAATCTGCTGGAGCTGGAGTCTCAGAGTCCACTGCGGCCTTCTTCTTCTTGCGGCCAAAGGAAAAGATGCTGTTCTTTTTGCCGTCCTTCTGAGTTTCTTCCTTCTTCTTTGGTGCATCAGGAGAGGAACCGGCTTTTCGGCGCAGAGCTTTGGCGTAGATTTCACCGATAATGATAGCGCGAAGCTTGACGCCTAGCTTTCGACCAATCCAAAGAGCCTGTCCATCAGCGACACCTTGGATAGCTCCAGAGCAAAAAAGCAG